TTAGATTAGTTAACAATATTGATTTATAACTCATTCATCTAGATAAAATAAAGGCTACATAATTATAGTACTTAGTACAAAATTAAATTACAATCCATGTGAGTTCGATACTCTTAACTCTATTACTATATTACAAAACTTGACACCGTACACTTGTGGTATAATTCACGTTGTACAAAACGCGTGGCACCTGGACTGCAAGAATTGAGTGAGCAGCTTACCATGAATGATAGGCAGGGCCCAGCTCGGATACCTCGTTCTGCAATTGATGCTATGCCCACTATTAAAATCACTCAGAGGCATCTTAGTATTGATTCTCACTGCCCAGTTTGTCAAGATAAATTTGAGTTGGGTACTGAAGCTAGGCAGATGACATGTAATCATATTTACCATTCTGATTGCATTACTCCTTGGGTGGTTCAACACAACTCCTATCATGTTTGCCGTCTCGAGTTGCCTTCACAAGGTTCTGGAAGTGGGAGAGAAAATGTGCAACATCGGGGAAGAAGGAATCCATTCTCATTCTTGTGGCCTTTTTGATTGTCAAATCTAAGTACTCACAATTATTTTTTATTTATTGTTTGTCAGTTGGCTTTTATAAGATCACTGACCAAATGGGATGCAAAACCTAGATGTCTATATAAGTTTATGTTATTTTGTTGGTTATAAATTGAAGACATTTGCAGAGAATTTGGAGGCACAACTCTATGGGTACACCAAGAAAGAATTTGTGGGTGATTTTGTCCTTTGCTGTGGTTTTGATTAGATTGAGAGATAGTGAAGGGAGTGGTGACATTGCAAAATCACAAACCAAGGTCACTTCATTGGTTTCAAGTGAGGACAAAAGAAATAAGACCTCAAACGAAGTTGTAGTAAATAACAAAAGAAGGAACAATGGTGGGGGTGGACCTGACCCGACCCGATTCGAACTGGGTTGGGTCGGGTTGATTTTGGGCCAAACCCGACCCGGCCCGACCCAATGCCCACCCCTACTTAGAATAATATATGTAAGAAAGAGGTAGATTGGTAAATTGAACTAATATGAAGATTATAGAGTTCTATTATAAATGAAGAAGATAGTTGTATGGGAAAAAAAATGAAGTAGAGACAAGGTATCTAAGAAAAAAAGATTCATTTGAAAAAAAATGACTGTTTCGCCCAATGAGCTAGCATGTGAGTTTTTTAAGGGAACAATACATAATTAAGAGGTTTAATTTTACCAATTTCAAATTTAAGAACTTAAGTTTAAAATTTCAAATTTCAAATATTTTTAAATTAATTAAATAAACATATATTTTATTAATTAAATATATTAAGGTCTCAATTCCATATAATTTGATAACAAATTATAAATTAATTGGTCACAAATTCATTTTCCATCACAATAAAAATTTTTATAGGACAAATTATTTCATAATAACAAATCGACAATTATATGTCACAATTTTTTCATCGGTCATAATTTTATAAAATTAGTAAGTCATGTATTATTCATTGGTCACAAATCACAAATTTTATATATCATAAATTATTTTAACGTCACAATTCAAAAACATTTATAAGTCACAATTTATTTAATCGATCACAAATCAAAAATTGAAACATCACAATTTATTTATAAGTCACAAATTATCAAATTATCGGTCACAAATTAACAATTTTTTAGGTCACACATTCTTTTTTGGTCAATAATTTCATATGTTACGGATTGTTTTCCGGCACGAATCAAAAATTTTATAGGTCAGAGATTATTTATCAATCACGAAATGAAAACTTTTATTGATCACAATTCGGTTATAACTTAATAAATTGTGGGTTACGGTCACAAATGTTTAGGTCACAAATTATTAATTTGTCAAAAATTAACCAATTATTGGTCACAATTCGATTATAACTTAATAAATTGTGGGTCACAATCACAATTTTTAGGTCACAAATTATTAATTTGTCAAAAATTAATCAATTATTGGTCATAATCAACCAAATAATTGGTCACAGACACCCCGTCCAAATCATCCCACCCACGACCACCGTCATGATACATCACCGCCGTCAAACACCACCACCACGCACCGCAATGCACAACTCCATCGCACCCCTAGTGACCTCTGTTCCCACCGCCAAAACATCACAGAACACACACAGATCATCACATATACCCACAGATTGCCCACGTCCACCACCCACAACCACACAAACAACCATCACCACCACCAGTTGCCATCACCACCACCGCCAAAACAATGCAGAACACACAAATCACATACAAAACACATTGCCGCCACTACCACCCCACCACCACCGTCGCTCCACCAGTACCACCATCACTGCCACATTACCACGCGCGACAACACCACCATTTTCACCACCGCTTGCACCACCAACCATCCCCAACACTCAGACAAAGAAAATCTGAATAAAACGCCCAAAAAACCACCCTAAAAAATCATCTTAAAACCATTGCAACAACTCTTTCACGCCGAAAATCAACACAAACCTCAAACTTCCACCACTACCACCATCACATTCCAACAAAGCAGATCAGAAGAAAACTTCCAAAAAAACCACCCTTTTGTAATATTATTATTAATATTTAGGGTTTAGGAAGAAATTGGGGTTGGATTTGATTAGTTTAATTTTGTAATATTATTATTAATATTTAAAATTTTAATTATTATCTGAATTTTGAAAGAAAAATTTATAATTCTTAATTATGAATTGAGAACTTGAAAAATACTTGGTCCATGTATTTTCCACTTTTTTTAAAGCTCAACAAGATTTATGATGTGGAAATTACACCCTCCCCTACTATCCTAATTTATTATTTATTACTGATGCATTTGTTAATTTTGGCCTTGATACATTCGTTTATGTGGAAATTACACCATCCCTTTCTTTTGTATATCCAAATTCTAAAATCAGATTTTAAGGTTTAAATTTCAAAAATCAGATATTTTATATATAGATATAGATTTTTTTATATTTAATTAAATATTAATAATAATAATATTATGAAACTTAAAATATATACACCTAAATTAATATTCAACTCTAATTGGCTAGCTAATTCACGTCTCTCACTCATCTCTCTCCAGTCTCTCTCTCTCTCTAACTTTCACGGCGGCGTGGAAAGGGGCTTCTCTCCGCACCGCTACCATACCTACAGATTGCGTCGTCCACTGGCCCACCGACACCATACCCACCAATTTCACACACCATCGCCCGTTGGTGTCGACGGGTGACTCGGAGGAGCACCATACCCACAGATCGCGTCGTCCACTGGCCCACCGACACCATACCCACCAACTTAACGCACCATCGCCCGTCGGTGTCGACGGGTGACTCGGAGGAGCAGCTACAAATCGCACAGATGCAACCGGTAAGATATGGTTTCCAGCTTCTGTGCGTGATATGTGTCGCTGTGATAGAGCCGATGCCGTTTCGTCCATCCGTTGCTACAGATCGGAGTCTTCCCTTGCAACCTAGCATATCCTACAACTGAACAATTCAAAAAATGATTGAATTAACCAGCACCAACATTGACAGATCTGAAGTGGTGACTTGGAATTTGGGGATTTTTTGCTGTTTGTGGTAGATTTGGGAATTTTTTGGTGGATGTTGTGGTTGTGGTGTAATTTGGGGATATTTTGCTGCTTGTGTTGGATTGGGGGGATTTTTTGCTTGGTGTGTCGACGACGGTGTTTTTTTTGTAGGTAGTGTGGTTCAGGCTTTTTTGTTGCGATGTTGGCGATGGTCCGGTGGTTGTGGTTGTGCGGGCGGCAGTTGTTTGAATCTATGTTGTGTTTTCGTGACCAATTGGGACCGCATAATGGATTAACTGTGACCTTAAAATTCGACAATTTATAACTAAATATTAATCTGAGCCAAGTGCAAAAATATTTGTAACCTGTGCCGTGATCATTTGAAAATAATCGGTGATTATGAACAAAATCCCGAGTTGTGACCTGAACTGTGACTTGTGATCTGAGTTGTGACCTGGACTGTGACTTGTGACCTGAGTTGTGACCTGAGCTATGACTTGGGAATTGGACTGTGACCTGAGCTGTAACTTGAGAATTGGACTGTGACCTAAGTTGTGACTTGGGTTGTGACTTGTAATCCGAGTCGTCAGAATCGGAGCAGTCGTCGAAACGGTCATCGGAATCGGAGTAGTCTCCAGAACAATCGCCGGAGAAATCTTCGGAATCGAAACAGTCGCCGGATTAGTTGTCGGAGCGGTACAGGTGGTGGAGGTGGAGGTGGGGGCATGTTTATATTTATATAATTAACATGCCCCTATATTTATTTATTTATATCTTTTTATATATTTATATATATAAATAAATATTTATATATATGTGTATGTATAGGTCAAAATCTCCGATTTTTGAAATGTGAAAGTTGTTTTGGTATTTTTGAAATAGGGTAATGGTCAAATTCTCTGATTTTAAAAAAATGAAAGATGTTTTGTCATTTTTGAAATTGAAACTGAATTTTTCCCATTTATGATTCTCCTTAATAGGAGCTCCAACGACCAATGAATCAAATCGAGCCCAAATATCGGCAAGCGAGTCGACCTACTCGCCATCCCCATATCTACACATCTATAGTGTAGTGTGACGTTAAAAGCTGACGCCAGAAACGCTTATCCGCAATACACATCCAACTTGTTTTATTAACCACATGATACTATGCACCTGTCAACAAGTTGCTCCACTTGCCACTTTCGAAATTTCATGGAAACATAGCTAATTAGCTATAATCATTTTTTATAATTACAAAATATTAATTTAATTCCTAGTGCATCACCTCCTCTACACTTTTCTGCCTCATATCCCTATATATACCCTACCCATCTTTCCCCTCCAAAATTCACGACTTTTCTCTCTGGTTTCCAAGAAAATTCAAGAATTTAAAAACCTGTTTTTGATATTGTGCAGAAAATCATGTACAACCAAGTTTTGACCGAGTTAACGCCGGTGAATTTTCCGGTGGAATTTCAGCCGGAGTATTGCTGGAGCTCTAGTTTCAGCAATCTCATGCCGTGTTTAATGGAAACATGGGGTGACTTGCCGTTAAAGGTTGATGACTCTGAAGACATGGTTATTTGTGGGCTGTTGAATGACGCCGTCAATGATGGATGGACGCCGTTTAACGAAGTTAAGTCGGAGCCGAGGTTTGAGATCGAGGCGGAGATGAGCATGGCTGAAGTAAAGTCGGAATACGTGGCTTCTCCACCGGTGACGGCGGAGAAGGTGGGGCCAGCGGTGGCACGGCCAAAAGGGAAGCATTACAGGGGTGTGAGGCAACGGCCGTGGGGGAAGTTTGCGGCGGAGATAAGGGACCCGGCTAAAAACGGCGCAAGAGTGTGGCTTGGGACATATGAAACGGCTGAGGAAGCGGCTTTGGCTTATGATAGAGCGGCTTATAGGATGCGTGGCTCAAAGGCGTTGTTGAATTTTCCACACAAAGCTGGCTCAAATGAGCCTGAGCTGGTTAAAGTGACGGCCAAGCGGCGGTCACCTGAGCCTGCTTCTTCTTCAGTATCGACAATATCATGGGCTTTGGAAAGTGGCTCACCCAAGCGAAGGAAGAAAGGAGTGCCAGCTGAGCTAGCCGAATCAGAAGTCCAGAGCAGAATCAATTTGTAACTGCACGTGGCAGAGAACTATTGGTTTTCTTATAATTGAGATGTGGCTTGTTTGGTTATGAGATGTGCATAGTAAGCTGGAAATTTGAGCGATTTGTTTGTTGGCTTAATACAGATGGTTCAAAAGTTATTATTTGATGGTGAGATCTGCTATATGGCCGGTCAAATACAGGCGCTAAGGTGACAAAATACAATTGGAGGGGGGCTGACTTCGAAGGGGGGCACCACCTCGGCTCCCTATCATTTGTCCCGGTCATTGAGCCGGGACAAATGGCTTAACTCTTTGATGGTTGAAAAAGGGTTGTCAAAAGATTAAAAGAAAAAAAAAATCATAGTTAAAAGTGAAATTTTAAATAGTGATTTATTAATTATAAAATAAGATAAAATGAAAAAAATGCGAATGATGATAACCATCTGGACTAGAGGCGCAAACCAATTGATGGAGAGGCTGGGCGGGTGGTAAATTCGGTAGGATAACATGGCTAGGGGCACAAGCACTATTGTCAGTACCGCGCTACACGTACAGAAAGAAAACTTACACATGTTTCACAGAGCGCACACATAATTTTTTTTAAAATACATGGTGTGACCCATCCATGTGAGTGACTTGGTGAGCCCCTGTGAATTAATCCCTCATACATGGAGATTAAATCATATGGTTAAGTGTAGCAATATTGTTAGTGGGTCAGGATTCAAAGAAAAATATAATAATGTCACTAATTCAAATCCCTCAAATTGTGAACGTAACTGAAATCGGAATATGATCAGTGTTCACAAAAATATATTTCGAATTAAAATCACCGCAAGTATACGGTTTGTTAACAAGTAATAAAGTGAATTTTGAGTCCAAGTATCATCCCACAGAGATTGATTAGTTCAATTTTAATTATTGTAACCTTAACCGAAATAAGAATAATGTGTTGTGTTTGTTTGTGACAAAANATATGATGTGTTTATAACTGAATTAAATCTAACTTAACCTACTTATGCAATTATGAATGAATTAACCAAATAAAATGAAAATTATGTTGAAAGCAAATTAATGTGTTTTAATGAATGACAAACGCACTAGGATCTTGAATTCTCATACAATAATCAGTTTTAATCTTAGTTTTACACACTGACAAAACCATGAAATAAACAACAAAGAAATTTCCTAGTTTAATCAATGTTCCTAATTTATTTAACAATCTCTTTCGAGTAATGTTAAACCTACGTTTATATATGACCCATCTATATTTCGATGATGGGTGCAAACATATAAAAGTGCATGAATTTTTATGAACATTTAAAGATTCACACAAGATATAACGGTATATTTCTATTCCCTATCGAACATATTTTTCTTCTTTCAAATGCATTAAATATTCCTAACAAGTTATAAAAGAGAAAACAAAAAGAACATTGAAGAATCAACATCACCCAATAGAATTCTTGAATTGATTCTAGTGTTCTTGGATTCGATCTTTGTGTTCTTTGCTTGTTCTCTGCTCTTCAAAATATGTTGTAATGCGTCATCCTTACTTTTGGACGGCCATAGGGTTTTAAAAGGTGCCCCAAGATTCGTTTCCATAAGAGTTGTATTCAAATTAGGAAACTAGAAAATTTTCCCCGATTTGGCCTGGGAGGGCCCAATAGAAAATGGGGCGGCAGCCCAACCAATATAATTGGGCGGCTGCCCAGTTATAAAACTTTTGCAAATTTTATTTTCAACCATTTTCTTCATTCTTTCTTCCATATTGGTCCTCCACATCAAATTACTTCAATTTTAGTATTTCAACTTTTACTAAAATTCATATTAGTCCCAAAACTCCATCAATTGGCCAATTTACCCTTATTTTTTTCCAATTGCTTAGAAATAGGTCTAAAACTGAAATAAGATAAAATTAATCTAAATTAAGTAAAATACAATAATAAAATTTGTTCATCGATCGCAAATAAAAAAAATTTATACATCTCAATTTATTCATCGATCACAAATCACAAATATTATAAGTCACAATTTAGTAGACAGTCACAAATTGCCAAATTATCGATCACAAATTAACAATTTTTTAGGTCACATTATTTTTTTATCACAATTTATCTTTTTCATTGATCACATATGGTTTATTGGTCACAGATTAACCAATTTAATGTCACAAATAACCAAATAATCTGTGACCACCACCAACCACTAACTTGTGACCACCATCTCACCACTCTCTCCAGCAGCACCACTGCCACCGTCGCCGCCATCACCATTATCACCACCACCTAATCCCGACAGCAACACCACCTCAAACAAAGCAACAAAAAAATTTGTGATCACCACCTCCGCCAACAGTAGCACAATCACCAATGCTACTTGTACCACCACCACCACCGTCTCCTCAAATCCATTACCGTCAACGCCACCACCTCAGCCAACAGCAGCACAACCACCAATGTTGCATGTACCACCACCACCGTCTCCTCAAATCCATTACCTTTAACACCACCACCGCCGCGACCACCACAACCACCATCTACACTCTTCACCGCCATCTCCATCACACTACACCACCAACTAAAAAAATCCCCAACCGTCGCCACCACGACTACCACCAGCAGTCACCGCAATCACCACCAATCCACAACCGCCGCCACCACCACCACCACCACCACCACCATCTCCATCACAACCGCCACCACCAATTAATCAGTCACAACAACCACCATATATATGTATCCGCTGCCACAGGCACAAGCACAGCCACCACCAAGCCACGCCACCGCTAATACAAACACCAAACCCACCACCACGGCTCACTGTCGGAAGAAGAAGTCATAGCGGAGCTCGACAATCCACGTGACAGCGACGATCTGGCGTTGTGCACGATGGCACTCAGTTCGCCGCCAGATGCCCCTTCTATCGGTAAAGAGGAAGAGAGAGTGAGAAGAGAGAAGACGATAGAGAAGAGAGAGTGAGGAGAGGAAACGAAGACCACCATGCCATCGCTACCGCTACCGCCAACATAAACACCAAACTCACCACCATGCCATCGCCACACAAAACACCAAACCTACCGCCACCACCCACACTGCCAGAGGAAGAAGCCACGGTGATAGGAGAAGAGAGAGTGAGAAGAGAAGACAGTATAGAAGAGACCAAAAGAAGAGAGGAGACCGAGAGAGAGAGATGAGGAACAAAATTGGATTGGGATGAAATATCTGATTTTTGAAAAGTGAAACTTTGTATCTTAAACTTGAAGTTGAATCTTGAAAATTCTAGTTTTGTGTAATTTCCACTTGAAGAATTGTGGAAACTAGGCTAGTAAAATCATCAATTGAAGTATTTGAACACACGGTAAGATCCTCCTCGTTGTTCATAACATTTGGCGCTCATGCCAATAAAGTAAAATAGTATTTTGTTTATATTCGCCTAAAATTATTAGTAATCTTTAGGAAAAAATTAGTAGTAATTGTTACGCGAAAATATATTTCAAATAAAACTCACCGTAAGTATACGATTTGTTAACAAGTAATAAAGTGGATTTTGAGTCCAAGTATCGTTCCACAGATATTGATTAGTTCAATTCCTATTACCTTGACTTTAACCGAAACTAGAATAAAATGACGTGTTTGTTTTGATTAAGTTATAACTAAAATAATACTAAGTATGCAATTATAAATGATTTAACTAAACTAAATGCAAACAGCGTCAAATGTAAGTTCGAGTGTTTCAATTTATGATGAATATATTAGGATAACAAATCCCTATATAATAATTCGTTTTAAATTTAGTTCTACACTTCGACAACACAATGAAATATTGATGAATCAATGTTCTTAAATTATTTAGCACTCTCTCGAGTATTGTAAAACATATTCTCATATATGATCCGACTATATCTCTATAATGGATGCGAATATACAAGAATGCATGAGTTTTTATGAACACTTAAAGATTCACATAAAGTATAGCGGTATATTTATATTCTCTATCGAACCCTATGACAATTTATATACGTCGAACATATTTCCCTTCTTTCGAATGCAAGAAAATAAGCCACCAAATTTACATAATTAACGTGCACAATAATTGTGGAGAAAAGAAAATCATACAAATTGTTCAATATCCAAAAACGTGCTTTTGATGTCAAGAATGTAAAATTAAACATTAAAAATTTATATTACATAGTTCATCGTTCTCTTAACACGAATAAATCTAGCCTAACGTGCTATGAAGAAGAAAACACAAAGAATATTGAAGAATAGACATCACCCAATATAATTCTTGAATTTATTCTCGTGTTCTTGGCTTCGATCTTCGCGTTCTTCGCTTGTTCTCTGCTCCAAAAGCTCTTCAAAATATGTTGTAATGCGTCCTCCTTACTTTTGGATGGTCCTAGGGTTTTAAAAGACGTCCCAAAATTCGTTTCCATAAGAGTTGTATTCAAATTAGGAAATTAGAAATTTTTCCCCAATTTGGCCTGACCAGGGCGCACAGTAGAAAATGGGGCGGTTGCCCAGGCTCAGAAAGTGGCCCCTGTTAATTCGGTTGAGGGTCGGGTGGCCGCCCAACAAATATAGTTGGGTGGCTGCCTAGTTATAAAATTTTCGCAAATTTTCTTTTCAGCAATTTTCTTCATTCTTTCTTTCATATTGGTCATCCACATCAAATTCTTTCAATTGTAGTGTTTTAACTTTTACTCAAATGCATATTAGTCTCCAAAATTCCACCAATTAGCCAATTTATCCTTATTTCTTTTCCAATTACTTAGAAACGAGTTCAAATCTGAAATAAGATAAAATTAATCTAAGTTAAGTAAAATACAATAATAAAACGACACACAAACTTAGTAATATGTCCTTAATAAGTGTACAAAAATGGACTTATCAAATACCCCCAAGCTAAAACCTTTGTTCGTCCTCCAACAAGACAAAACACAACAAAACTTAGGAAATAAACTATATCACTAATCTAAACAAATCTCCAATAACAAATTCAACGTTAAACGGCTTACCGAATGCCTTAGG